TCTAAAAAGTGTAAGTCAAAAAAAAAAAAAAGTGTAAGTCAGGACTGGTGAGATGGATCAGTGGGTAAAAGGGACTTGCTGCCAAGCCTGATGACCTGAGTTCAATCCCCAGGACCCACATGGTGGATGGGAGGAAAGAACTGACTCCTGAAAATTGTCCTCTGACTGCCACATAAGCACTGTGACACAGGAACTCACACATCCAAAATGAACAAACAAAAGTAAAACAAAAGGCAAATCAGTGCCTTTAGCTTAAATTTCCTTTTTCTTCGGTTGGCTAATATCTTTTATAAGAAAATCACCTTCCTTCTTCCATCCCAGTCCTCTACCATACAATCTGAAAAGTGCTATTTCCTTCGATTCAGGAAACAGACTGAGTCATCAAGAATCCTCTTTAAGCATCTCAGGAGACCTCTGGGGCTCTAGCAAAGATGGCTTCACTGTTTCAGTCATTTTATACTCTCATCCCTTGATCATTTTAGCTCTTTTTCTCTTAATTTTCTACAGGCCTTTCTTGGTCAAGATAGCACAAAATATTAAATGCAAATAAAAGAGATGGTAAATGAATTCTTTCTGTTGAGCATGTGTTAATACAAACGTACCTTATGGTAGCATTCCATACTAAAGATGATTTACATATATGAATATTCACCTAGAAAGTTATGGAACTTCATTCTTCTTCATATACATTTAAGAGAGTTACTAGAAAGAAGCATTTATGAAAGCTGTTCAATTTGTATCATTTTATTTGGGCTTGTCATTACTTGCAACTCATAACCAACGTGAAACGTCAGTGTTACTGTCTAGGGGTCAAAGAACATTTCCTTGGTGAGGATTCTTCTCTCAGCCAGTTAACGGCAAGAATTAAAAGGCAGGAAGAATCACAGACATAGCAGGCAACAAACTTTTAATAAAGTAAAGAAACACACATGCACGTTTACACACTCACACTGAGAGACTCTACAAGTGGAGAGGGGATTTGGAAACTGAAATCCAAAGCCCCAGGAGAGCTTGGGCCTTTTGAGTGTCCTTGGTGAGTACCCCTGCCCTGATTTTGGATTGGTCAACTTAGACAAAGAAGAAAAGACTGATAGGTTTACAGTTCCAAACAAAGATAAGCCCAGGTCCAGTCTTGGTCTTATCTATACTAGCTTGAAAGGGGGCCCTGCTGGCTGGGGAAGGTGCGCTCTCAGGTGTCTCAGACCAAGAAGCTTTCCGGATGCATGCCATTCTTATCCTTTATCAGTGGCCCTTTCCCTATCTATCTACCTGTATAACTATGGCTAGCTCCCAGCTCCTCAACACCAAGTTAGCACATGCTTCAGCTGAGTTAAAAAGGTGAACTGCTCCACTCTTCCTTAATTTCAGGCCCTATCCAAATTCTGGGTGTTCAAAACAAGACAAAATATCCATCTCTAAACAATCACACATCAAAAATCTTTTTTAGGGCCACTTCAAATTCAATTAATGTACTGAGAGGCTTTTCTTTCACTAACTTTATAGTTAACTCATTGGCTTTGTGAGTGAAAACTACAGATTATTATTAAGTACAGCAATTACACAAAACTATCTTTGTTCAGTGTTATGTGTGGCACACAGACTTCTAAACTGGCCATCTGTCTCACTTTCTAGTGTACATATTTGTACAATCAACTTCCTTTCCTGGAATATATATAAATGATGGGCATATGACTATTACCTTACATGGCAAAAAAGATTATACAGATATAATTAAGGCCAGTTTTGAGTTAGTCCAAAGGAGAAACTATTTTAATGGATTTGAACTATCTATTAAGCCATGTAAATTGGGATCTAGGTATTAGAGGCACTAATAGTAAAGGGGATTGCAAAGCATGGCATTGGGAATCATGTTAACACAGGGTGATGGTCAGCAAAATACCAGAAACCTCAGCTCTGTGATCACAAGGAAACAAATTCAACAAACTTGAAAGAACCTCATAGGAGTTAGTAGCACTGTGCAATTGATTTCAGAAGAATGGCTGAGCAGGGAAAGCAGCTGGGTTGTGCTCTGACATCTGCAGAACTGTAGACTATTGAATTTGCAATCCACTATGCAGTAATTTATATGGGAATTAATATTACACATATAAAGAAATGAAAATGAGGGAAGTAAAAAAAAAAGGAGAAAAAACAGTGAGAAAGTTCAGATTTTCATGTTGACTACGTCAGTGGTTTCAAAATTGGCTTCAAGAAAATCCTGGACGTAGCTAAAGAAAATATGAAGTTCTAGCTATAGATTTCTCTTACAGTTTGCTCTGAAATGTTCCCTAAAGACTCATGTACTGAAGGCTTAGTCTTCAAAGCAGCCATATTCAGAAGGGGGCTCTGGGAAGGTGGCCGGATCCTAAGGGCCTTGATCTCTCTGATGGATTAGCCCATTGCTGGGCTCCTAATTCTATCAGGAGGCAATGGATCCTCAAAAACAGGACTTGGAAGGTACTTTGGGCAGGTCCTCAGGGTCTGTATCTTGTGCCAGTTACTTCCTCTCCCCTATTTCTGGGCTGCCATAAGATGAGCAGCCTCTTCTGCCACACAATTCCACGATGGTGTTCTGCCTCATCATGGCCCAGAAACAGTGAACAACAGGTGTGTCTGTATATGTGTGGGCACTCTAGTGTCAGGGTGAAAGGACAACTTTTGCCAGTTATCTCCTTTCACTTTGTGGGTTCCAGGAATCAAACTCAGGTTTTCAGGCTTGGTGACAAGCACCTTTATTCACTGAGCCATTTGGCAGGTCCTAATTTAAAATATAAATACTAAAAATATTTAAAACATTTTTTAATGTGTGCAATGCCCACTGAGGTCAGAAGAGGGCATCAGATCCCCGCAACCGGAGTTATGTGTGTTTGTTAGCTGTCATGTGGGTGCTGGGTATTGAACCTGGGTCCTCTGCAAGAGCAGTCAGTGCTCTCTCTTAACATAGAGCCATCTCTCCACCTCCAAAATATATTTTAATTTCTTGAGAATTTTATACATGCATTCTATGTATTTTGATCATATTCCCTCCTCACTCTTGTCAGCTCCTTCCAGAGCCACCCTTACCCTCCTCCCAACTTCATCTTTAAAAACATAACCCACTGAGTCCAATTTGTGCTGTCCATATACTCATGGTACGGTGGGGCCACTCACTGGCACACGGTCAACTTCCAGGGGCTATACCCCTAAAGAAAACTGACTCCCCTCCCAAGCAATACATATATTTGCTTAGGAAGCTTATACAAATAGGCCTCCATATGGCTCTTTCAAAGATCCTCAGTGTAAGTTATCCCTCCCTCCACTACCTCCTCTGCCCTCCCCTCCCCTCCCTCTCCCTGCTTAAACCTCTCTCCCCCTTCCCTCCTTCAGATCACCTGTGTTCTATTATCCTCCTTCCTGAAGATCTTTCTTCCCCCTCCCCTGCCAATGCCCTCTTTCTAAATTCCTGGCTTCTATACCTTTTCCAAGTTAAACATAGAAATCTAAAAATTCAACACTAGGAGCCACATGAGTGAGAACATGTGATGTTTGTCTTTTCAAGTCTGCGTTACCTCACTCAGTATGTTTTCCGGTTCCATTCACTTACCTGCAAATTTCAAACTTCGCTTTTCTTTACAGCTAAATAAAATTCCAGTGTATGTATACATACATTTTCATTAAATTTTGTTGAGACAGATTCTGTGTAGCTCAAGCTAGGCTGGAACTCACTATGTAGCCCAGGCAGGACTTGAACTCATAGCAGCCCCCAGACCCAGTCTCCTGAGTGCTAGGATTAAGAGGGTGACCCACCATGTCTGGCTTTCATTCTGTGTATGCTCATGTACATGCAGGTACATCTACACATGTATATAGGCCAAAAGTCAATGTTAGTGTCTTCCTCAATTGCTCGCCACATTTTCATTCTATCATGCAATTAAAACATTTATTTTGTGTAGGTCAGAGGACAACTTGTGGGAGTCGCTTCTCTATCATGTGGGTTCCAGGGATTGACCTCAGGTTGTCAGGCCTGGCATCCAGCATTGCCCACTGAGCCACCTCACTGGCCCTACATCTTATTTTTGAGACAGGACCCTTCATGGAACCTGGAATTCCTCATCAATTCAGCTATGCTGCGTGGCCAATGAGCCCCAGGGATCCTCCTCTCTCTATCCCGTGTCCCCCAGCACTAGAATTAGACATGTATTGCCACATTGGGCTTTTACTGGGTGCTGGGATCTAAACTCAGATCTTCATGCTTGTGAAGAAGGAACTTTGACAACTGAGCAAGCTTCTTACCCCCCTGGTTCTCATCCTTAAAACTACATTGGGGGGTGGGGGGTGTCTATGTAATACTATACACATTTGTATAGACAGATAATTCAAATACTCATATATTTACGGATGCTGGTTAAAATATGAGACTTGCTCCTTGAGAAACATCCTATCTCATTTTACTCCTATCCAATTCTGTCATGAAGTTTGAATCTATGTTAAATGCTCAAATCGTTTGGTGTCATTTGACAACTTGTAGCCCTAAGTCTTTCTAGTTGCTTCTAGGAGCCCTCGGAAGTGAGTTTTACTGACCAAGGCAATGTCCACCAAACTGAACGATTTTGGGCACTAGTTAAACCAGAATCCTAGTCTTCTAAAGATTCAAGCTAGTAACTCTGGGTGACCTGTAAGTCTGCCTACAATGTCTAAATCATTTCCATTCTTATTAAATTGAGAAACTGGGCACCAGTAATACGTAAGTTACTATATGGAAAGCTATGGTCTCTGGGAGAAATGTATGTACTATGATCTATGAAGTGTCCATAGACATGGATACTCAAAGCTGTACCATACAAAGTGGCAAACTCAGATTTTTTTCCAGTATTTACTTGTGATGTATTATGCCTCATGCTTAATGTGTGTTCTAATTTCTAAGATGCTAGACATGTTGTAAAGAAACCATTTTTAGTATTCTTTTCAGAGATAACATTGCCAACAGTATGCAAACTGGTAAGTAATCTTTGGACCAAATGTGCTTATTCACCAAATTTATTTTTGAACATCCAGAACACCAGATTATGACAGATTGAAAACAAAGCACCAAAAATTGCTACACGTTAATACCTGAGCGGAGACTGAAGGCAAATATTCACCTATTAAACCTACACCATAATGTTGAAACACAGGTAAAAACGTTTACAACACTCTACAAAGTACAGTAAGTAGCACTTTTTCCAAATTACAATGGATTAAATGTAACAATGTTAATTATACCATACTGAAAATACACAGAGAATTACACATAAGTGTATTTAGTACACCATACATTGTACAAAGCACTAGAGATCATGCATGTCCAAAATGGAAAGGTCTGCAAGGTGACTATTTTTCAGTACACACTTTAGTACAGGGTCCTTTGCACTCTTAAGTGTTGTTACTATGCACTAATACTTTATGGATGAGAAGAAAATCAGTTTGCAAATATATGATTACTAACCAAGTCTATCTCAGCATTAACATGTAGTTTGATGCCAGTTGAGAGCCACTTATTTTATTATATACCCTTGTCTAAAAAACATTTTTGTCCATTTGACCAGGCTTTAAAGAAAGACATGTTGTCTTTTCCAGCTATTTTATGAGAACTCTTTTTTTGTTTATTTTTTAGAGACAGGGTCTCCCTATAGCCCCGCTAGCCTAGAACTCACTATATATAGATCAGGCTAGTCTCAATCTCATAGAGACCTGCCTGTCTCTGCCTCTCAAGTGCTGGGATTAAAGGCATGCATCACCATGCCAGGCTAGAGAACACTTTAAAAAAATCTTTCAGCAGGGGGTAATAGAGGTGAAATAGGGGAAGGAAACATATTGAGTCTTTGTTCAAAATTAACATGGTAAAATAAACAACAAACTTTGAGTACACAGAAATGTGGGCATCTTTTGCCAAAAAAACATGATTATCCTATAAATAGTAATTTGAACTTTAATGGAAATTATACTCATTGTTTTAACAAGTACAGTAAATGCAAGGCTTTACATTAAATAAAAACCAGAAGAGTCAATTCTTTTGATACCTTAAATATAATCAGGCAGGAAAAAGACAAAAGTGAAATAAGGGGAAATAATGTTAAAAAAAAAATACATCAACCTGAATTTGGTTACTGGAAAAATCATTTCTGGGTAAATGAACCTTATCTGATAATATAAATGCAAGTCTCAACCTGCCAGAACTGGGGCACAAGTCTTAGATGGAATCCACATCTTTGATAGGCTATTCATTAATATAACAAAAATACATTTTGAAGATTCGTTTTCATGTGCAGAAAATTTAGAACAGAAGTGCCATGATCGTCCCTTAAAATGCTTTTCCCCAGAAACTTTAGCCAACCCTAATTTTCTACATGTATGCAGCCTATGCCAATTTTAACTCAGAACTCTGTAAATTAAGGGAGGCCTCAAGAACGACGGCTGTGTGGATGCCAAGGGAAGAATGGGTCGACTGTACTTAAAACTTTTATTTCAACAACTTTAAAGAAAGGATTTCAGATTAATTTTGAGAAGGCCACCCATAACAAAATATACAGTTACAAAGCTGCAGGGCATTGCTTTATCATTTTAAGGCACAGTCTGTTTTATCCCAAATAAGTTCAAGGTCACAGTGATGATACATATATATATTCAATTTTGGTCTGGTTTCTCTTGGGCATGTTGCTACATTTACAGTTAATCCTAAATTTAAAAAACCACAGTACAATCAGGCCAAAACAATACATTCAGCTCTCCTATATCACTTTTTTTACTAATATTATCCATAGCTCCCATTAGATAATTAGATAAACTGCTACCAAAGCAAGGCTAAATATTTCAATATTTGGCTGTGTTGCCTTCTCACTTCCAAGGCTACTTATGCAAAACATACCAACATTACCACACTGGACAGAGAAAGAGTATTTAAATGACAGGAAAATCCATAAAACGAGACACAGAAATTCCCATAACATTTCTATGAGGATAAATTAAAGGAGTTCCAGCAGATAAACCTAGTTTCTGAGCCCATTGTATTTCTAGTTTTCTTTCACAATAACATCATCTTGATGCTGTATTTTTGTACTCACATTTTTGTTTCTTAACATTTTTCTATAAGATGTCCATTTTACAAGGTTTACTCTGTTATATTATGTTAGTCTCTAGTAGATAATTTTCCCTTGTGAAACGTGTCTAAATAGAGGGACTGAGCAGAAACATAGAAAACAAATCTCACAGGGCAAACTCTCAATGACATAAATGAGATGACTGTACCAAAAATGGACTGTACAACACACACTAATGTTTCATATCACCAAACAAACCCAAAGCCAAATGGTTTCAAATGATTATTTCAATTAACTGCCAAAAGAGTTTTAGTAAGTGGACTGATCTTTTACTCAGCAAAGCCAGGGAACATTCAAGAAACCAGACACAGCAGAATACACTATGCTCTAATTTTGAACATTTTCAAAGAAAACTAGAGTATGGAATATACATTTTCACAATATATACATTTATTATAAGTTCTAGATGAAAATACTGAAAAGATTACTCTTGTTTTAATCCCAACATACTAAGAAAAGTTAATTGGCACAAATATCCAGAGGTATTTTACAGTTTCATTTAGCTTTGGTGGCAAAGAATATTTTGCTAACCATGAGAATGCTTACACTATTTCCAATGCAGATTATGCTAAAAATAATTCAAATGTGTCTTTTTTTCCTAAAAAAAGGGATGTAAAAAGTCCAATATGAAACCGAAGAAGCCGCACATAAAATGCAAAATATGCCCATCACTTGGGCTTCAGAGCACTGGCTCTATGCTTTGTCTCTAAACATTTTTACTAGTAATATTACTACTATATAAATACTAAAAATCAAAATAACATTAAAAATAGCATATGAACTTTACAAAAATGGCTACATTTACTTCCTAAACTAAGATTAGAATTCAGATATGCAAACTTACACGAACTAGCCAAATCACACCAACAGATACAATTTCTCACCAACTTACAATGTACAGAACGATTACAGATTGGTTCTCACTTGGATATCAGGTCTCATATAAAATCATCAGAAAGTAAATGGTTTCTTAGTGCTTCTGATGTTTTTGGCAGCATAACATGCCAAATACTTTCAGAAAGAACTGTTCTTGATTTAAAAATTACTACTCACAGACTACCCAATCAAGTTGTAACTTAGAAAACCTTTATCCATTTCAGTGCAGTATTGCATTCATATTATTAATGAAGTAACAGCTGTCTATTTCTACCATTTCCAAATTTTATTATTAATGAAATAACAGCTATTTCTACCATTTCTCAAATCTAAGTTATTAGCATATAAAATTCAGTTTTCTTTATTCACAATATATTTTAAAAAGATGAAAAATTGTAAGCATTTATAGCTCATATATGTGGATTACCAATATGACTTTTTTTCCTGTAATCCTTATGAAAAGTAAGGAACGTGAGGAGCCCCAGAACATTCTTATGTCCTCACATATCAGTAAACCTTATTGTAAAAGAATTTGTTAGTAATTCTAGTATAAATGAAACTTTACTACAGAATTCAAAATGTCTTCTGTTCAAAAAGACTGGACTAAAATCTCAGTACACAATCTTACAATTTTGAAGTGGTATGTTCTGTATTTACATTGACTTGGAAAGGAAGCTTCCCTGGCATGTATCATAACACATAGAGACTTGTATTTATCCTTTTATTCTAGAAAGTATCATACTCAGTTGATTTCGACCCTTAAACTTCACAAGGTCTTCTGTTTCCTATGATAGACAAATTCACAAATTCTATACACTGATGAAAAACAACCAACAAATGCCTAGCTAGTTATAATCCCAACACAATTTTCCTCAATGATTTTCCTCAAATGATTAAAAAAAAAACACTTCCTAAAATTTCAAGTGAAACAGTCTCAAGTTTTGCACCAAACCAAATGACACTGCTAGGCAATGCACTAATTTAGACTTAACACCTAAGGTAAAATACAAGCCACCTGCTTGATGTGGGGATTCGGGAATCAGCCCTAGTTTACCTCATGGTATTTGTGGTTCTGCCACACACTTAAAATTTTATGTGTATGCATGTGTGTATACATGTGCACACACATGAGCATGGGAAGGCTAGAGGGCAATGCTGGGTGTCTTTCTCCGTCATTTTCCTTATTTTTTGAGACATGATCTTTTTCTGAACCTGGAGCTTGCCAATTTAGCTAGGCTGGCTGATCACCAAGTCCCAGACAGATGCATCTGTCACCACCACCCCAGTGCTGGGCACATGCTGCCATGCACCATTTTTTATGAGAGTGCCTAGAATCTGAACTCAGGTCCTCATGCTTGCACAGCAAGCACTTAACCAACTGAACCATTTCTCCAGGCCCACTGGCCCCTATTTCTCCTGCCTCTTCTGGAACTAAATTGAAAAGTACATCTTACTTCCCTTTATTTCTCTGGATCACATTCCATAAGAGGTACTAATAAGTTGCACGGTGAAATGAATGCATTATGCTATAAGTGAGGAAGAGTTAAGGAGGTATAGGACCTTAGTCATGAGCAGGACAAATAAACTGCCTCATACAAATCTGTGAAAGTTGTGGAAATGTGTGATGCCTACATGAGTGACAACGTAATGAACAGCAAACATTCAGTAGGCCCCCTACTCAAGTTATTTCTGTCGTATTCTGTACTTTGTAATTCTATGGATACTATTATAGTTCATTCAGTAAAAGGTATTCCTTTAGAGTCAGCTAAAATCTGACTGACTATAAAAAATTAAAAGATTAATCAATATACAATCACTATATATTAGACTCAAAAAGTAATATTAATCAAGCATAAATGGCTTCTTTAGAACCACAGCATTATGGTGATAACCCAGAAAAGAGTAGAATTTGCTTAATTTTGACATGAAATTAATCTAGAAAAAAGAAAGTGTAAACAAGGGCTAGGTGTGCACAGTTCAGTAGCAGAGAACATGCTTGGCATACATGAGGCCCTGGATTCAATCCCTGGCACATACACGGGGAGAGAGAGAGAGAGAGAGAGAGAGAGAGAGAGAGAGAGAGAGAGAGAGAGAGAGAGAGAGAGAGAAAGCGAGCACAAGAGCACAGAGCTAAATGATAACAGCAATAACCCTATGAGAGGGTTTCAGCAATACTGGGCCCTCGGCATTTTGTCCCGTCTAACATATGCCCAACCTAGTTATCAACAAGAGTCTCAGAATTGTTTTGTAAGCACAAAACTCACTCAAAACCTCAATTTCTTAAAAAGGGGGAAGGGCTCATAATAGTGGAACTCAGAAACTGCTCTTAATCTCTAACTTAATTGCCAATTACATGTGTTGCTGAAAAAATTGTGCTCTTATCAGCCAATAATATAAGTTGTAAACATGATAGAAAGTATGCAATTCTGAGGTAAAGGAATTTCCTTTTCTTAAGGGATAGAAATTTCGATCCTGCTAATCTACAAATAGAACCTACCCACTATTTGTATCTAAACTGCCTGATGAAGACCTTGTCAAAATGTCTCCATCTTTATGTATGGGTGTTTGTATCTGTGTGGCCTCCAAAGGTTGAAGACCCAAACTACTATTATTTAAAATATTTCCCAGGCATAAATAAAACTTTAGGACTTGGTAGTAAGTACACTCCCACAAAAATATTTCAGTGAGAATCAATCTACTGCTTTAAAAACAAATGCACTGCTCATGAATAAGAAACCCAAGCTTGCTTTGTTTTGCTCACAGCAGTATTTACTAAACCAGGAGACTGTAGATCTTGTAAACATAATTATGGCTGCCAATAAAAAGTCTAAATTAATGAGTTTCCTAAAGTTCTTTCTGTATATGGATAGAAATTCTAATTCAGAAGAGTTAAAGCATTCATTTAACTTGTAACTTGAAATACAATTTAATGTTAAGTGGCAGTATAAAAACATGTGTATAAAGTTGTTGTCCAGGTACAACAAAGCAGGTATGTCCCTATTTAAATATAAATGTGGTGTCCATGAGGGAAGTGTATAATCTAATACACTCTCTTTCAGGTACTGAACAAACAGTACTGTGTGGTTTATTCCTTTCTGATTCTTCTCCCAAACAAGAGCCTGGAATGTTGGCGATGTCTGTTATGAGGATAATCACCTCTCTTCATTAGTTTAGTAAGTGAAAATATGAATACTTAAGCATGAAGCCAGCAAAGAATACAAAGGAATCAGACAACCTGTTAATCTCAACAGTGACAGCACGACCACCTACATGTAATGCTGACACAGTAAGGGCTGAGGAAGAACTAACAGGGGAAGTGGGGCAGCTTATTACAGTGAGGGAGGGAATGGCCCTCTAGCAGGCAGCAGTAGCAGAGAGGCTGTAACAGGCAGGTACAACAGCTAATAAAATGAAACTAACTCCTTAGGACTGTGCTGGGTACTAGTAAGGATGTAAGTTCATAAGCGCAACTGTGAAATGACTGAAACTTAGGGACTTTACTAGAGAGGCTTTGGGTATTTACAGCATATGCACCTAAGTGAAATGCTATGTAAGCCAGGTCTGTCTCAGACTGAGTTTATTTCAACTGACAGTAAACAGAAACTATCCTCTTCTGTGCTCCATCACCTTTCTCCCCCACCCTTTTTTTTGGTAGCTAAGAAATGACTGAAATTTGAAATGAAATAAAATGTTACCCTTATTGTTTGTCAAACAGCAATCCTAGGAGCCGCCTGGGCAAATTGAATTTCTACTGTTAAACCTGCACAAGTTCCCATTTACTCAAGTGTAGTGTTTATATTTATGGTACTAATGGATTAACAGTTGCTTACCATCATTCTGCAATAATAGTTTTATATATCAATGTAATACTATACTTACGTCTACTCCCCGTTCTCCCCAGTCAGCAGACAAAAATGGTACAAACCTACAGTTGTTTCCAACTACTGAAATTTAGTTATTTTAGAAATTTGTTATTAGCAGAGGCACTTTTGGCAACCATGGGAGCGCTGAATTAAATCAGATGGCAGAAACAGAACAAATCAGCTGCTCCAATGCAGGAAGAATTTCTGAGACTATTCTTTTGATAACAGAGCTCTTTAACAGTCTTCTAATATTCACCAAGAACACATATGATTCATACATGAAAGGAACAAGTAAATCTCAGGATTTTGAATTTGAATCATTTCCATTAGTCAGTCTTACACTGGCTGACAACAAAATATATCTCCCTATCATTCGAGGCTCCTGTTTCATAAATGTAGGAAGACAGATCAAACTTTGCTTACCATGGCTGCCAAAAACTGACCAAAGACTGCTTCACAGCTATTTTACTTTTGAGAAACAGTTATGAATTTCAACAACATTTTAAGACTTATTTTGAATATGTAAACTATAGCAAATATAAAACCCACTTTTTAAAAGAAAATTTGAAGAAATGAACAGAAGCTTCACATGAGATCACTAACAATGCCGCATCTACGGAGGCTCTAGAAGATTCCTGGCACCGTGGATGTACAGGAGTCCTCCAGGACAGTGGCTACCACATCCCTCACTGATTTTTCAGAAATGGCTAGTATACAGATGCTACATCACACAATGAAACCATGCTTCAACTACTTTCCTCAAGCATTACAAAACTAATTTCCTATTTTCATACTGTAAAAATAGACTTGTCTTCTCCAAAGGACCTCGTTGTTCATGTCGGCAGATCTGTATGTTCACTACATCACTGGTCCTAAAGGCATAAATCATTTTTACATTCTTTAAGTCCAGTCTTACATAAAGTTGCATAACGCATGGAATAAAAGAGGAATGAAAACAAAGCATGGAACCCTGTATAAGTGTGAGGAGCCAAAGGCAATCACACCCACAGCCAACGGAAGTGGGAACTGCGAGGCAGTCTTCAATAATTTACTGCAAAGAGACAGAGAAATACACATTATTATATGAACTACATTGTGGGTCAAAATAAATATATTAATCTTTTATACAGCTTTGGGAAGATAATGTTCTAAATGATTTGTTTGTGTTTATTTAAATTTTATTTATTTATTTTTAGTTTTCTGAGACAGGGTTTTGTGACATAGCTCAAGCTGGTCTTGAACTCAGGATCCTCCTGCCTTCTGAATGCTTGGATTAGAGGAGTGTGCCACCCTACCTGGCTTAAGTGATTTTAAATAATGTAATTTTTAATGAACTCAAAAAAATACCTGTCCATAATTTTATAAAGCTCAACACATGCCATATTTTGTCCAGAAAAGTAAAAACATTGCTATCCAGAAATCAGTCATATTTTTAGTCTCTCAGACATTACCAGAAAAATACCAGTTGGACTTTCATTCAGTAATCCTACCTTTAAAAACTTAACTCTAACAAAAGCAATGTTCTCTAAGACACTGCTATAGAAATGTTTAATTCTGCTTACAATGGCAAATAATAAAAATGAAAACTAAAGAGAAAATCAAGCAAAGAAAAGATGAAATATTTTTAGTTCCTGAGAAAAGGAGCATATCAACTAAAACGCTAAATATTCTTAAAAGAAAACTAGTTTCAGGACAAACTATTTTCTTTTTACTCTAAAAAGGGAGAAACTGAAGAGAAGAGGACTTAAGCCCATGAACAGCTATTAAATGGCCAAGTCAAAATTTATTTTTATTTATTTATAATTTATTTATGTGAGATATGGTCTCATGTAGCCCAGGCTGGCCACCAACTCTATGTGGCTGAGGATGACCCTGACTTCCAACTCTCTTGCTTTACCTTCCAAGTGCTGGGATCAAAAGCACACAGTACCACTTTTGGCTTCTAAATTGGGATTTAAATCCCAGATCTGCTTGATTCTAGAATAGTTATAAATCTCTCTCAAAATCAACTAAAGAGGTCTCCCACAGCAAACGCTCAGTGAATAGAAGTCATGTGTTATTACCAAGTATGTCAAACGCATACAGAAGTGAAATGAACCAACAGCATAGCCAAGCCTCATGTGCCCATCACTCAGTTTGAAAAAGGGTTGAATCATAGCTCACCTTGCTTTACCTATAGCCCTGTCTACTTTATTTACTCCATATTTTTCTTTGAAGCAAATCTTAGATACCATATCATGTAAGGGTTAAGTTTTAAAAGAAAAACTCATTTTCTGAACAGAAAAAAACCCTACAATTAAGAAAACAAGCACATTTGCATATAAACTAGACATAGCTCACAATCACTTTATGGTTTTACTTTTAGGAGCAATCAAATGAAATAAGAAAAAGAACATTCAAACGAACAGTGATAAAGCCATTAACAGATGTGAGAAAAAGATTAAGTTATTACCTTGATTTTACTGAAACTGTGTGAGTGTTTCCAAGAATCACCATAGTTGGGATAAGGATAAATGCCAAGGGTTTACATGGGTCAGGACTGAGTTTAAAATAATACCTAAAGTATGAAGAAAAATTAAAACATGTCATCAACAAAGCAGAATGGAGCATTTTAAATTACTGAATCAATCAAATTAAGTAGTTTTCAAAAAGTTGCAATAGCAATATAGTTATGAGAGCTCTATAAACAGCTCATGAAATCTCTAATAATGAATTCCTGATCTAAATTATCTACATATTTAAGACTCCATATTGAGTATTATGCTCAGAAACTACTAAAGGCAATTAAAACACCAAAAGTGGGAAGTGTGCCCTACAAAAGGGTCACATAGAGCTCTTAAAAAACAAATTACTGGCTGGGCATGGTGGTGCATGCCTTTAATCCCAGCACTCAGGAGGCAGAGTCAGGAGGATCTCGGTTGAGTTCAAGGCCAGCCTGGTCTACATAGTGAGTTCCAGGACAGCTGGGGCTACAGGGAGACCCTGTCTCAAAAAGACCAAAAACAAAAAAACAAAACAAAACAAAAAACAAATTACTTAACATTCCTGGCCATTTAAGATAGTCCAATATGGAAACATATCAAATGAAGGTTTCTATAAAGTAGGTCTCAAAATCTCCTCACTTGTTATTGACAGTAAGAGGTCTATAGCCCTTGAGAATCCTGCTGTATATGTTTCTCAATTCTGACTAAATCTGAACAAAAGTCCAGATCTTGACTAAGATGAGGAACAAAAGAAAGGATATTCACATCAGGTATCCTTTGATTTAATTCAACTACTAGCTGTGGTAGCCTTTTATCTGGAAATGTATTTAAAATTATAGGAAAGGGGTCACAGCAACAAAGGAGACTAGATTTTGAAAAAAGAAAGAGAAGAGCAACAGGAATCAAGAAAGAGATAGCAGGACAGCTAAAGAGCATGGAGTGAGGTAATATAAGGAGAAAACAGTCCACAGCCGTCAGACTCCCTGGGGTGAGAGGAACCAGAAGCTCCAACCACAAGTAAGCCAGGCAGCCCTGGTGACAACAGACTGGCAGGCCCAGCCACAAGGGAAAGCCACACTTCTTGGGAGTCTTAGCTGCAGTGAGATCTGCTGTGACAGTGACAGCAATGCAGAACACCGCTTTGCTCTCTGTATCTGAGGGCTGTAAGCTGGGTGTATTCTTCACAGAGAGCCGGTAACAGTGAGACACTGGGGACTTGAAAACAAGGAATAAAAGTCAGGAAGCCTGGGGACACCCTGCCACATACTGAGTGGAGGACCACCTCGAGAAGTAGCTGTGGAGACGGTGGGTAAGAGGCAGCAAGGTGAGGCTGCGAGGTGTGCAGGAGCTGATAGGCCTACTGTCTGTGGTGAGGATCAAGTCTGACTGCCTGTAGACAGAGAATCCCAAGGCTGCCACAGTGGAGTACTAAGTCTGGAGCTCTTCTTGCCATACGTGCTTTGCTACTGGGTAGGTTTCAGAGATCTGCACTTAGGTCCAGTGGATTCTTTGATTTCCTCAGCCTCCTCCCTCCTAAAAAGGTTGCCTACTGCTGGGTGGGGGCTGAAAGCACTGAGATCAGTAAGCAGAATTCCGGGTTCCATGCATTTCTCTTAACTTGGATTTTGTTGCCCCTAAGTGCACATGCTGGCGAAGGGCCTCTAAAGTGAGTGGGAACTGTACTGGGGCCAGCAGAGTTCTCAGTAAGGAAAGAGGGGATGCTTAAGCATATACCATCTTGACACTGACCACATACCCTTACCCACCCAGCCCTTAGCTGCATACAGCACCCAGATATGATGGGACAGAGAGGAACCACAACAGACCACAGATGCTATTGGCTACTAGCCTACCTCAGACCTGGTAGATGCCAATATAGAACATCTGGAAAGAAGCTTCTTTAATTTTTTGAGTTTTTTGTTTGTTTGCTTTAGTTTTTGTTGCATTTTAATGTCATTTTTACTTTATCTGTATTTTAAGATTTTTATTATTTTTAATTATGTATACATGTGTGTGCCTGTGTATGTCTATGTACACATATGTACAAGTGCCTGTGGAGGACAGAAGAGGAGCTGGAGTTACAGCTAGCTGGGAGCCCCCATAAAATAAAATAAAGTAAAAATGAATACATTGTTTTTTTTTTTTTTTTAAAGAACCAAATTTGAGACCTCTGCAAGAACAGTATCTGCTCTTAACCACTGAGCCATCTCTCCAGGCTCTTGTTATAATTCTCAAATATATTTTTCTTCCCTTTATTTTTATCTAGCTGTATTTAACATTTAAATTTGTAATCAGGAATTTTTATGCTATTCTTCACTTCACATTCCTTCTCCCCCTTCACGTCACTGCTGCTGCTTTCCCTGCCCCCCTCCATTATTTCATTCTCTTATTGCCATTACTTTTACTTTAATTAATTTTAAATCTATTACATAGAATTTTTTACCACTTCCTTTTCTATGGTTAGTGGTAACATCAATTTCTTGAACTGATTTTTTTATTGTACTTTTGATTCTGGTTTGTGCTGGTGGTTGCTGTTTTGGAAGTGTTCTCTGCACAATACTGGGGATTAAGCCTTCCAGAGAAGGCTGTTGGCTAAGAAGACCCCCACACACACACCCTACAAAGCTGGACAAGATATCCATCCCCATGGAGGAGCAAATCACAACACAGAAACCTGAAATGGGCAATATGAATCCTCCAAAAGTTTGTAACTCTTTAACAGTTGCATGCAAAGATACTGAATGGTTGAAATGGCAAAGAATTCAAAAGTCTAATGGGGTTTGCTTTGTTTTTTTAGATAAGGTCTCACTACGCAGCCCTGACTGGCTTGTAATTGGTTATGTAGACCAATTACATAGCCAATTCGAGGCTGGCCTTGAGCTCACAGAGATCTGCCTATCTCTGCTCTGCCTTCTGAGTGCTGGGATTAAAGCATGCACTACCATGCCCAGCCTCAAAAAGTCTAGTTTTAAATAAGTCAGTGACTTCAAAGAAGATTCAAACAGACAATTGAAGGAAAGAACTCAATTCAAGATCTGGATGAGAAATTCAGCAACTTCAATGAGAAACTCAGCAAAGACACATAGTTTTTGAAAAATGCCAAGTGGGAATCTTGGGGATGAAAAAGCTCAATAAATCAATTTAAAAACACAATGGAAAATCAACAAAAGACTATACCGGGCAGCAGAAAGAATACCAGAGATTGAAGACAAAGTTCAAATAGATAAGAAGGAAGGAAAAAGGGAGGGAGGGAAGAAAATAGAAAAAAATATCAGGACCACAACATCCAACACCGCTTGGAGATGATTAAGAGGATAAACCTTCTATTAATCTGGGGTGTGTCTAAGGGAACTGGGATAGAAACTAAAAGCACAGAAAACATATTTAATGATATTATAGCAGAAAATTCTCCCTATCTAGGGAAAGCAATAAACATAGGAGACATATAGAACCTCACATGGACATGGCCAGAAAAGACTATCTCTCTGTCACACTATAGCTAAAAATATCATGTTTAGAACAAGGAAAGAATATTGAAAGCTGAAAGAGGTATCAAGTTACATATGAAGGAAAACCTGTCAGAGTAACAGTATATCAGAAACCCTCAAGGCAAAGAGCAGGAAATGATGTATGGCTTTTTCTTTTGTTTTGTTAAGACAGAATCTTGCTATGTAGTCCAGATGGGTCTGGAGTTCGCTATGTGGCTCAGGATGACCTTGAATTCTGAGTCTCTCATGTGCTAGAATTACAAGTGTGTGCCACCACACATGGCTTGGACTGATGCACTGTAATCCCTGAAACAAAATAATTGCTAAGATTACTATACCCAGCAATGTTATCCATTTAATTTTAAGCAGTAATTAATACTTCCCTGATATGAATCAGCTGAAGTATTTCAGGAATATGATAGCAGCACTGCAGAAGGTATTTAAAGGGCTACCACATAAAAGAGGAAAGATACAAGTATGAAAGCCTGGGAAAGAAAGTCCCCTAAAAAACTTATAAGCAAATGAGACTTAGGAAAGAATTAAACATTAGTAATTCAGTAAATCAGCAAATCTCTAAGGTGAAGGAGAAATTAGTGCATCCCTTTGAATACTCACACTAAAAGTAAATGGCTTTAATTCTCTACATTAGACTGGCTGAACTGTATGCCATCTGAAAGAATCTCACTTCACTGACAAAGACATAACTAGACTGAAAGTGAAAGGATGGAAGAGAGGGATTCCAATCTGAGAATAAGTAGAAGCAGCTGTATTTATATCTGACAAAGTAGACTTCACTTTGGGTCAAAATTAGAAGAGATAAAGAGGGAACTACATATTAATAAGGAAACAGTCCATTAAGAAGACACCACAATTGTAAATATATATACTGAATGGTGGGGCATCCAATTTCAGAAAAAAACCCTACTGGACATAAAGGTATAGTCTGATCCAGTTATAATAACAATGGATGACAACAACACTCCCATCATCATAAGTTAGGTCATCTAGGCCTCTTCCTCCTCCAAATGTCAAATGCCAGACTCAAACCACTTCATACAGCAGATGAACTCAACAAACATCTCCAGACTATTCTATTCAATAGATGTACAATACACATTCTTCTCAGCAGTCCTGGAACTTTCTCCAAAATAAATCACATTTTAAGACTTAAAGCAAGTCTTAACAAATACAAAAACATGAAAATCTTCTGTTAAAATAAAACAAAATAAAATTTAAAGCCAACCTTTGAATGATTAGTGGGGTGACATTTCTTCAATTAAGGGAAAATTTTAAAAATCCTAGAATCAGGGCTGGAGAGATGGCTCAGCAGTTAAGAGTACTGGCTAGTTTGGTTCCTAGCCCTCAAATAGTGGCTCATGACCACCTATAACTCCAGTTTCAGGGGATTTATCACCCTCTTCTGACCTCCACAGGCACTGCACACACATGGTGTATTTACATACATGCAGGCAAAACATTCATATATATCAAATAAAAACTAAAAAATTTGTTTTAATTTGTAGAATCAAATGAAAATGAAAACACTTATCAAAAGTTTTGGGATATGGCAAAGGAATGTTTAAGGAGGAAGTTTATAGCTATGAGGACCTACATTAAAAAAAAATTAGGCTGAATGTGGTGGTACACACCTTTAATCCCAGTTCTTGGGAGGTAGAGGCAGGTGGGTTTCTGAGTTTGAGGCCAGCCTGGTCTTCACAGTGAGCTCCAGGCCAGTCAGGGCAACTTAGTGAGATCCTATCTCAAAACAAACAAAAACAACAAAACATAACAAAATAAAAACCCCAAACCAACCAACCAAACAAACAAACAAACCACCACCACCACCACCACCACCAAAAATCTGATAGGTCTCAAATAACCTAATGGTGCACCTCAATGTCTTTGATAAATAACAAGTTAAACACAAAACTAGTAAACAGAAAGAAATAATAAACATTAGGATAGAAATGAATGAAACAGAGACTCAAAGAACAAATATCAGGGATCACTGAAACAGAGTAGGTTCTCTGAAATGGTAAACAAGATTGGCAAGCCCTTAGCCAAACCAACAAAGGAAAAGAAGAAAACATAAATTAATAAAATTAGAGACAAAAAAGGAGGATGTTAAAACAGATACCACTGAAATCTAGAGAGTCTCCAGGGAATATTTAAAAATTTATATTCCAATAAGTTAGAAAATCTAGAAGAAATGGATAAATTTCTAGACACATTATGACCTCCCAAAATTGAGCCAAGAGGATACAAACAACCTAAACAGGCTGCAATAGGCAGTGAGATCACAGCAGTAATAGTATCCCAACAAAAAAGGCCCAGGAGTAGACGAATTCACTGCTGGTTCTTCCAGACCTTTAAAGAACACATACCAATTCTCCTCAATTTATTTCATAAAGAAGTCTATAAAACAGTATTGATCTGAACCAAAATAGGAAGTGGATACAAAAAAAAAAGGAAACTACAGAGTAATCTCTTTGAGATTCTCAATAAAACACTTGCAAATATTAACACATTCAAATGACCAAACATCATAATTATGTTGGTCTCATTCCAGAGATGCAAGGATGGCATATATGCACAAACCAAAAAGCATAATATAGTGGATGAATAAAACCAAGAACAAAACCAGCCAGGTGTGGTGGTGCATACCTTTAATCCCAGTGCTGCAGAGGTGGAGGCAGGCAGATCTCTGTGAAATTGAGACCAACCTGGTCTATATAGCAAGTTTCAGACTAGCTGAGGTACAGGGAACCTTAACAGATGAAAAAAAATCCTTTGACAAATTCAATATCCTGTCATTTAAAAAGTATTAAGATTTCAAGACTAGAAGCTAAGACCTCAACACAGAAAAGGACATATATAACAAACCTACAGCTGACATGCTGAATGGGAGAAAAACTGAAAGACAAGGGGTGCCCACTCTCCCCACTCCTTTTTAAAATTTATTTATTTATTTTTATTGTATATGTATGAGTGTTTTGCCTGCATGTATGTAAGTGTACCTGTGTTGTGCAATTCCCCTGGTGATCAGAAGAAGGCATTGGATCCCCTGGAACTGGAGTTATATATGGTTGTTAACCTCCATGTGGATGCTGGAAACCGAAGCCAAGTCCTCTCAAGAGTAGTCAGGGCTCTTAAACACTAAGCCATCTTGCTAGGACCCTCCCCCATAGTCTCTCTCATTCAATATAGTTCTTGAAGTTTTAGAGAAATAAAGCAAGACAAAGAAATAAAAGGGATACAAATAGGAGAGGGAAAGTCAAACTATCTCTATTAATAGAAAATGTGATCCTATATTTAAAAGACCCTGAAAACTCATTAGAAAACTCTTAGATTTGATAAATATTTTCAGTAAATAGCAGGAGACAAATCAATATATGTTTCTGTATACCAGTGGTGAACTTGCTGAGAAAGAATGCAGGAAAATGATACCATTTACAACAATCTAAAAAACATAAATCAATGAAACACCAAAAAATAAACCTAGCCAAGGAAACTAAAGATTTCTACAGTGAAACCTATAAAACACTAAAGAAACCAAGGAAAACACTAGATCAAAAGACCCTCTATATTAATGGATCAGCAGAATTAATATTGTAATGATGGTCTTAATATGGAATGCAATCTACAGATTCAATGTGATTCCTATCAAAATCTCAATGGCCTTCCTCGGAGAACCTGATAAACCTTATTAAAAAACTTATTTGGAAGCACAAAGGATTCCAAACAGCCAAAGCAATTCTGAACAAGAAAGGTCCTACATGTAACATATCTGCAAGTATTTTTTGCAGCAGGCTTCATAATAGCTAAGTTATAGGACGGGCGTAAATGCCCATGAATGAATATGCGGCATATACGCACACTGGAGTATTATTCAGCCACAGAGAAGAAAAGTCGCAGTGTTTGCCAGAAAATGGATCAAACTGAGTACTAACATGTTAAATGAAATAAGCCAGACTCAGAAAAATGAACATGGTATATTTTCTCTCGTGTGTGAAATTTTAAAACAGATATGAAAATACAAGAAGATTGTTTGGAAAGAGGGACTAACAGTTATTGAAGCAGGGACCAAGAGAAGGTGACCTCAGCATAGTAAAGGATATATGTAATGTCAACATGCCTTACATACCTGTACAAAAATGTCAAAATGAAAC